CTATTCGCAAGGCTGAGTATAGATCTTATACGCCGTTCATCAAGTCATTTAATTGTAATGATGTTGTGGAATTTAGCATCAATCAAGTAGATTCGTTCTTTGCAATGAACGCTTCCCTTCTATCTATCAAAGGAAAAGTTGAAATAACTGGAGGAGGAGGAGCAGGAGATGTATCTTTAGCTCCAAACTTTGGTGCCTTCCTATTTGACTCTTGCACTTACAGTGAATCCGCTAGAGAAGTTGAAACAGTACGTGATCCTGGTATTGTAAGTACTGTCCGAGCTTACGTATGTTACAGTGAGGAAGACTCAAATCATATGGCTATAGCTGGATGGAACTATCCTTCAACACCTATAATGGCGTCAACACATAACAAGTCTTTTAGCTTGCTAATGCCGCTTAAACATATTTTCAACATTTTCAATGATTATCCTATGATTACGTGTGGCAGACAAACTCTCAGATTTGTGAGAGCTAGAAACGATAACGATTGTATCATTATCAAGGAAAAAACTGGAACGACGACGACAGCGAAAATAACTATTGAAAGCATGGAACTGAAAATCAAACATATTTACCCGAGTGATGATGTGAAAGAACAACTTTTGAAAGCTATTCAAACTGATAAGCCGATACTTATACCGTTTAGAAAATGGGATCTGAATGAACTGCCTGCAATTACCGCAGATGCGAGAAGAGAAATATGGTCAGTTAAAACTAGCACCGCAATCGAAAGACCACGTTTCATTATAGTATGTTTCCAAACCGGTAAACGTGACGTCGCAACCTCAGACCCTACCCTGTTTGATCACGTGAATGCTGCTAGTATTCGAGTATCTTTAAATGGTGAATACTATCCCAACGAACGTATGCAATTGGACTTTGCAAACAATCACTTTACTGAAGCTCATTTCAACTATAGCGACTTTCAAACCAGCTATACAACTTCTTCTTCTCCTCTGAAGAGATGTCTTTTAGATTATACCGCTTTTAAAAATCGCGCTTTGTTTGTTATTGACTGTTCCAAACAAGAGGAAACCATGAAATCATCAACTGTTGATGTTAGATTGGATATCGAAGCCGATACTGGCTTTCCAACCAACACCAAGGCCTACTGCATCATTATACATGACTGCTTAATCGAGTACTTCCCCCTCACCGAAGTTATTAAAACCATCTCGTAAGCAACGAAGGACTCTCAGTTCCGCATCAGACATCATGAGGATCGCGTTTGTTGACATTCAAGGCTTTACAGTTGACGGATTATTCGTACCTAAAGAACTATGTATCGAAATTGGTTTCAAGAAAAGTCATTACATCTTTACACCTCCGCCACCTTTTTCTACATTAAATACTAAAGACAAGAAAACTGTCGCTTACTTGGAGAAGAATTTCCATGGGCTTAAATATTCTTCCGGCGACGTTAAATATTCCAAGTTAAATGAAATAATTAAAAATAAGGTGATATATGCGGCTGACTATGTCTACGTTCGTGGAGAACAGAAAGCAAACTTTTTACTCAAGAAATGTCACATTTTTGGTGTTTTTCCCAACATTATTGATGTTTGCAAGTATGATGGTACACCGTGTGCTACTGGAAACTTTGTTGCTGATTCCAATCCATGCCACACCAACGGACAATTTTCCTGTACCCAGAGAAATGTTGAACGTCTACGTCACTGGTTTTCAAATATCATATTACCTATGTAGTTTTTTTCTATTTTCAATAAAATATTAAACGTATTATTGTAGTTTTATTGAAAATACCTCTGGTTTGCGAAATAATTGTCAGAATGTCTATACTATTTTCATTTTGAACGGTATCATCCTGTATAATAATAACAGTACATCGTATACAGGTTATGAGACATTCTGACCGACCGACCGACCGACCAGAGGAGCCCACCACGCTATTTAGGTCACGCCTTGCTATATACGATTTAACGATATACCGTCGGTCCATCGATCCGCTATTTTTCGATGCACCCCTGTATACACGTTCTGAATGCCCCCCGTAATCCACGCCAACACCAGACAGGTGCGACATCGGCGCCATCTATGCGCGAGATGCCCAACCCATCAATGGCAGCTGTCCAATGACACATAGATTCCGTTTGGTTTGTACAGCGCCAAACAAATCGGCGCCATCTATGCGCGAGATGCCCAACCCATCAATGACAGGTGTCCAATGACACATAGATTCCGTTAGGTTTGTACACCGCCAAACAAATCGGCGCCATCTATGCGCGAGATGCCCAACCCATCAATGACAGGTGTCCAATGACGTATGACAGATGACGTTTTAACGCAACCTCGGCTATTCGGGAAGGCCGCTATGTGGCTCCCGATTCTTCTAGACTCAACGATGCGGACTATATAACTCGGCGGCCGGGAGATGGAAGCGGAGTACTGAATACGGTAGAGTAGTAGAGCGGAGTGGAGTATATTGCAGTCAATGGCGACATAAGAATTAGTCAGACATAAATAGTGGTGTATACTTTATCTGAAGTCACTTGAAACACTGTGAAATACCGGGTGCGTTTTATATATCTATATTTAACACGCTCTGTTGCTGCAAAAATCGCCAAATTTCGCAGCAAATATCCCCCGTATAAGATCAAAGGCAGTTTCACCGGTCCACGTGGAGTAAAGCACGCCTATGCGTGGACGTAGCCAAAGAGAAAGCGTGTATTTCAGAGCTCCGAACAAGTGCAGATGCTACTGAAAATTGAAACAGTTTAGCCAGTGCCGTGTAGCGGTGAATAAACGTGTTTTCTTTAGTCTGTCCGTGTTTTTTCATAGATTTTATTAGATTGTGTGTTTTTGACTTTTGAATACTCAGTTTACTTGTTGATTTAATTGTTGTGTTGATTGTTCTTGTGTGTCCTAAATATGGCTCTTTGGAGACCTTGGGAAAATGCTCCAAGCCACAAGGATATGGTTGATGAACCTGTGCAGGCAGAATTCTTTCATAAAGATTTAGAGGATCAGACCCAAAGAGTAATCCTAAATATGTATGATTGTCTGAAAAACGAAAATCCAGATTCCTCGCAAAATCAAATTTTAAACAGAATTTGTATCCTGACAAAAATCAGTCGGTCTACCGTTTATCGGGTTATAAAAAGGGGAGATGTAGTCAACTATTCCTTCCACAGAAAGCGCATAGGGCAAAAATTAAAAAGAATAGACGTGGGTTTTCAGGAAGATATTCGTCGTATAATATACGGATTTTATAAAGAAAATTTGGTGCCCACGTTGGAAATGATACGGGATAACTTAAAAGATTATCCTGAAGATTTTTATAATTACAAATGCTTAGACTCACTGCACTGTATTGTAAAACTGTGTGGTTTTCAATACAAAAAATTAGATAAAAGAATGGTGATTATGGAGTCGTCTCGAATCGTTGAATTGCGCCAAGAATTTTTGCACAAAGTTAAAAACTATAGAGAGCAGAAAAGAAATCTGATTTACCTGGATGAAACGTGGTATGATACCCATGATGTTGTGCAGTACGGCTGGGTTGACGACAGCAACAAGTGCATTTTAAATGCACCATGCAACCGTGGAAAACGAATCATTATTCTCCATGCTGGTAGTGAAAATGGATTTATACCTAATGCCTTGCTGTTATCTGCCAAAAATATCAAAGAATCATGTGCCGACTATCATGAGGACATGACCTCCGACTTATTTGAAAAGTGGATAGAGCAGCAGTTAATACCAAACATTTCCTCAAATTCAGTGATTATTATGGACAATGCGCCATACCATTCCCGACAGAAAAACAAAATTCCGAATACAGGCACAAAAAAACAAGACATTATTGATTTTATGAAGGATAAGGGAATGGAAATACCACAAAAATCAACCAAAGCCATATTATTGGATCTTATTAAAAGACAAAAATTTGAAAAAGAGTATGTTGTTGACAATCTGCTTCAGCAAAATGGCCATGAAGTATTACGTCTACCTCCCTATTCTGCATTTTTAACCCGATTGAGTTAGTCTGGGCTGCTTTAAAAAAAAGTAAGAAAACATAATCAGACCCCTCAATTAAGTGAATCGCTATTGGCCACAATAAGAGATGCAGTATCTCATATTGCTACCACAGACCTATGGAGGCAGTGTTCTAGGCATATTATTGAAAAAGAAAATGAATATTGTGTTTTGCCTCCTGTAAATCCCGTTGTAATTCCTCTACAAGATGACTCTAGCGACAGCTCCGAAGGCGAGGATGATATATAAATACCTATAATGTAAGTCTTTATATACCTTTTTATATACCTACCTGCTATGTAAATATTTGCCTATGTCAAACGTTGGAATTCTGTAATTTTTCCATTTCTTAACTTTCAGTCAACATAAATTAAACTCCCAATATAAGTATTTTTTATCCAAAATCAAAAAAATAAGAAGATAGTAAAATCCATTTATTGTGATATAAAAACATTATTATTACCGTTCTAAATAAATGACAGCACGCCTATGATACGTCATGAAATTACAAAGGACGCGCCGACCAAAGGTTTTTATGCTATTTCAAGTGACTTCAGATAAAGTATACATTAATGTTCTAACAAGTTGAATAAATTAGTGCACTTCTTTTTGTGGCATCCAGTGTTTTAATCCATACCCAAAAGAACCTAGAAAAAGGCTACAATATGTAAGAGGAGCATTGTCGGGGCTAAGACCGATCACTGGGGAACATCCGCGTTGACGCTGTTGTATGAATACGAGATCCCGTCAATTACAACGGAAATCTTGCGATATCTGCAAAGCTTCTCTGGGAGGCCAAAGGATGGAAGCTTGCATAAGGAGGCAGCGTGCCATAGCTGAACATTTTCGTGATATCAAGCGCAACGACATGAGCTTAACCACAAGACTGGATGAGTTTACTCCACAATTGCGTAACGTAAGCTAGGAGGTCAACTGTGGTTCGCTGGTGTCGGAAACCATACTGCCGGTAGCCTTGTAACTTATCAAATGTTTTTATGCTTTTATATTTTCGTTACAGTTTTTTTTGGGTCAAGTGGCAGAGTAACATTATTATTATTCCAGAGTAGAGGTACACAATTTCCAACTACAAAAGTCTGCATATCCAACTCACCAATGTTCATAAGCATCGCCCTATTGAAAGGTCCATCCCCGTCTTGCTCTACGATAAAAATAGTGTAATCCAACGTCTGCTTCTTCAGGAACGGATGCATATGTTGTAGGAACAGCAATAAGTGTTCCCCTCTGCATCTGAAGGGCACGATTACTGCGACCCTTTTGGGCGGTTTGCAATTGGGCGGCCGCCAGCTGCCCCCTGGTAGCAGCCAATGAAATCGTTTCTCCAACTCCATCACAGTTGGCACTGGAGTGCGGACTATAGGAATGCGTCCCTCTGGAATAGAGATTCATCAAATCAAGTAGCTTGATATTTTTATAAGTAGATAGATGACTATGCTTTATTGTCTGAAGAATAGCATCATTCTTAATGACAAAGCTAACCTAAAGCTAAACCACAGCTTAGATAACAATCAGCCAAGAAACTCTCCTGTCAAAAACGACCGCCATTTCAGCGAAAAATGTCGAATGTAAACTCTCCCAGTACAACAATGAAAGAGGTTTCAGCGTATTAGGCGGTGTTGCCGCGAACTATGTTAGCGGCCGCAGATATGCGTTGCAATCGTAAAAATTATTTTATTGCGATATGAGCTGATGAGCAGTTTGTGTGAACCAATAATAGAAAAGGAGCATGTTTGTCCAAAACGAAGCGGCGGAGCATTGATTATTTATTTATTGAAAAAGCCTCATAATAAATTTGTAATCGTGCAAGGCTCTCAGTATTTACAATAAACGGGACAATATTTGCTTTCGTTTGATATATTTATATAGAAGAAATGAAGAAACCAGACGAAAACATCTCAGTGTCTGTAACCTAGCATCGCGGGGCGTACGTGCCCTTAACTCTCGCATTTCTATTGGACTTTTTGGTCAGTGATTCAAATCCCATCTGTACCCGATAATTTTTTCTTTTTTTGTTTTGTTTCTCTTTTGAATTATGTTATTCAGACCTAATTCAAAATCAACTCGTATGAATATTTATTAGTTGATAGCATTTGATGTTTATATTTTTTGAAGAAATTGGACTAACTTGTTCCACAAATCCGAATAACGTAACGGCACGGGTATTATGTAAAAAACCTATAAAACGTCAAAAAAAAATATAAGATGCCATCTTGCAGACTATGTAGTTTTTAGGGTGCAAACAGTCATTCCACGTTTGCTCACTAGGATGATTATTTATTTATGAAAAAGCTTCAGAATAAATTTGGAACACAAGGCTATCAGTATTTGCAATAAATGGAAAAATATTTGCGTTTGTCTGATATATTTAAGCAGAAGACATTAAGGAAAGCAGACGAAAACAGCAGTAACATTCCTTTAAAATGATGCTATTTTGGTATCAAAGATTTTGCCCCCACATTTCAAAGTTTTTGAAAGCACAAAAAACGTAAAAATTCGTAATTGATAAATTTGAACAAAATCTGTCGGGAACAGCTAATAGATATACTCAATTGGCAGTACATTCAGTAATGATTTTCTCACACAGCAAATATCACTGATTTTATACACATGCAGACCAATACACATAATCATCCAGATGCGATATATGTTATAGCAAATAACCAACTTTCTTCTCAAAGACTCGGAGACTTTAAACTATAGACACTCGGCTTCACAAAACATATGCAACCAAAAATGCGTGTACGTGTAGTTGAGCCATTCCTCCATAGATTGGCGCTAACAATGATCCTGTTGAGCAAACGTGGAATGACTGTTTGCACCATAAAAACTACATAGTCTGAAATATGACATAGGCTTTTTTGACATTCTATAGGGGGGCTCTGACATCATTGCCTCTGACATACTTGACTTTAGGACCGATGGCAGATGACAACCCTACCTTTGCACCCTTAGGGTACAGCCTAAAGTTGATTAAAATATTAAATCTAATTTATAAATGAACAATTTACTGTTAAATAACAAAATCAATTCTTTTTGTCTTCCTGCGAATCGATTAATTATATTAATACTTACCATGTCCTTTGAATCCAGTGCAACAACTTTTTTGTGGTTTTGTCCGTCTGAATGTAAAACTAATAACAAGAAATCTTTTAATGACCATCTGCGTAATGTTTATGAAACAGCGCGTTAGCATTCAGTTTGAATAAGAAAATTACACTTTCATTTCTTAAGAATTTTTTTGAAAAATGACTATTTCATCTCTAAAAAAATGACCGAATGACCCTTTTATTTCTCAACTAAATTCGCCTGGGGGGGGGTCATGACCCCCATGACCCTCCCCCTGGAACCGCGCCTGACTGATGCTCAAATTTGCGGAAATGTCATCTTATTCCAAGGACCGGACCATCCTATGATGATTTATGTGAAAAAGAATTATAATGTTTCTTGAAACTTTCATTAAAACCTTTATGTGGTCTCAAAATGAACTGAAGGGGCGAATTCTATGGTACTATCATAGCATCATTTCAAAGAAATGTTACTGCTGTAGAATGTTAAGCGGTAAAGAGATGTTTTCGTCTGGTTCCTTCATTCCTTCTATATAAATATAGCAAACAAACGTAAATATTTTCCCGCTTATTGTAAATACTGATAGCCTTCCACCATTACAAATTTATTATGAAACTTTTTCATAAATAGATATTTATCAATATTCCGTCGCTTCGTTTTTATGATTGCAACGCATATCTGCGGCCGCTAGAATGGTACGCGGCAACACCGCCTAGGACTACTCATTTCGAACGCTGAAACCTCTTTCATCGTTGTACTGGAGGAATTTACATTCGACATTCTCCGCCGAAATGGCGGCCGTTTTTGACACTGACAGGAGAGTTTCATAGCTGACTGTTATCTAAGCTGTGGCTAATCTATAACTTGATTATGTAGATCTTAAATAGGTGAATTGTACAACTCATATAGGGTATAACATGGTTTACATATTAAACAGTTTTTACGGTAAAGGCGGAAAATCTATAAATTGTCAGTTCTTTTGATAGCATCAAGGAGAAACATGTAAATTTTTAGACCATTATAAATTATTGAGTCATTTGATTAAGGGCCGTATCGTCAGTCGTTACTACAATTATTGTAGGACGCATTTATGGCCTCCGTGATTATCATAGTCTCTCCTGCAGGAAGGCTAGGATATTTCTAGATTTCTACTGTTCGGTGTCAGCGTCAGCGCTCTCCTATTGTTAGGCTACGTTTTCTTCTTGAATTGTAGGATATCTCAGGCTATCTAACAGATGATATAAATCAAAAGTAACAGTTTGATGCGAATAGATATTTGTAACATAACCTCAAAATAGAGCGCTGACACGCAAGAGTAGAAAACTATGAAAATCGAGGAGGTCATATAGGCGTCTTACAACAATTATTGTAGGAACGACTGACGGCTCTTAGGTACTATTAATTTAAGAAGTTGTTTTGCGTTTAACTTATTATATATATATATATATATATTTATTAAATGTTTCTAAATATATATATATATATATATATATATATATATATTTATTAAATGTTTCTAAAATGAACAACGATATAACAGTCATTATTTTAAGATTTACAAATGAAGGCCTGCATGTGGCTCTATGTTTGCTTTTAGTTATACATCTAATATTTGGTTTTTGTAGAATAAGCACTTTTAAGGCTATCCTTTTCCCTACGTTGTAACTAATTGTTCTGATAATAAAGGAAATCTTTGCTAGCTGAGTAAGCAATTGGTCAAGATGATCAGTAAAATTTAATTTATGATAAATGGTCAGACCTAAAAATTGTATGTGTCAAATCATTATTTAAATTTATAAAATTAAAGAATGATTGATTGTAGCAATGTCAATTTTTGACCTAATTTCATCTGTATCTGTTTCGTGCCAAAGTATTGTGGTATCGTCAGCCTAAAAACATATATTTATATACTTATACTCGTATACTTGTATGTTTGTTACATTACATATTACATTGAGCCGTATTCCTAAAAGAGAAGCATATCCTCAGAAGCATAAGGTAAAAGTATAAGGTCTTACTTCGGAGAAAAAGGTAGAAGTATAAGCATATCCTTGTTTTCATATTCATAATGATTAAATTATACTCGCGAGAATATCCTCCAAGAAGAAGTAAAAGGTTGACTGGTATTTTTATCTTGAGCGACATGTCCTGACTTGTTCCAGCTTGTAGTTGACGTGGGAGTTCGTTCACTGAGCATCACTAACAGTTGTACTCCAGAGCTTACACAGACCGTTCCGAATTTTTACTGGATACAGTTTTTTATCAAATTAATAAGCATGTCATCCTCAAGTGATGAGGAAACAATAGAAAATAATGGCAACGATCTGCAGTTCATCGCAGATGAAATTGCCATTGCTCCCATTATTTTGCAAAAGTCACAAGATCCAAAAATAAAAATGAGAAAGGACGATGCCTTGAAGAAGATGTTGAAAAAATACGAATCAGCATTCGGTAAACCATTAGATACTAAAGACTTTTTAAAAAAGAAATCAACAACATGAAATCAAGATTGAAGAAAAAAGCAGATCTAAAAAAAACTGGTAATAAAGCAATTAAATTGTTAGATTTGGAAAGAAAGCTGCTGAAAGCTATGGAAGGTGACTGTCATCCTACAGTTGGGAAAATTAGAGGTGCCATTCAGCTTGGTAGTGTTCAAGAAGAAGGAAGTGAACTATATAAGGAGCGCAGTGAGCAAACAATTAGTACCTATTACAGCGCCAGCAATTCAGAAGACATTGCCACCAAAAAGAAAATTAGCAACAGAGAAATACGAAACTGAGGAATTCCAAAACATCTGCAACGTCTAGTGCTATTACAGCAGTACCAAACAAGTATTTTACAACAAGGGTATTATAAAACGAAATTAGAAATGATGCTGCGTCAGAAGCCACCTGTAACTTACGATGTTCACGAAAATAAAACTTATTATAACTTATAAATACACTTTAATCAGTAAAACTATTTATTATAATACTCAAGTTTCTTCTTATTTGTTGACCTAGTTGGTGGAGAGGAAGTTCGTCATTCTCATGATTTCCTTCATCTTCATCTGGGTCTTGTTTAACTAACTCAAAGTCAGGATCGCCTAAGCTCTTCGCAACATTATGGAGTACAATTCAAGCAATAATTATTTTCGGCACATTTTCCAACTTTACGCGGCAAACATACTATAGGATAGGAAACTGGCGTTTCAGTTGGCCGAAACAGCGTTCAATTATAACTCTTTCTTGTTTTAAAAGCTTATTATAATTTATTTCTGCACCTGGAGTAGGATTTCTGAAGGGAGTCATAAGGAATGGCTCAATACCATAACCGTCATCGCCAAGTAGTACAACATTTGCTTTATTTATTAGTTGTGATCTAGTCTGTGAATTTCTCCATTTTCTAGAATCATGCAATGATCCAGGCCAACTGACATCAACACTTGTGAACATCCTTGCGGCATCACAAGTGGCTTGCACATTTAAAGTAGGTTTCCCTTTTCGGTTGATATACTCATCTCCACGGCGATTTGATTTCAGGATTCTTATATGTGTACAATCAATTACACCAATTGATGTCGGAAATTTTAGACATGCTTTGCGATATCTGTTTGGCCTCCATCAGTTCATGGTTGGTAGTTGGAAACTTGATCCATTCGTTCGACTGTGCAACTATGCTGTTCACAACTCTATCCACAGTCCGAGATACCGTTGCTTGACGAACACCAAGTTCCTGACCAATACCTTGTTGATATCCAGGGTCACCGAGATAGCGTAGACATATATATTGAATATAGGGACCTGAAAAATATTGATATGGTCTTGTTCAAAGCACACTTAAGACTTAATGTATTGGATGAAATTTTTTATATTAATGATATCAATCAAAAGGTTTTATTTTTCACTGAAAGTTTAATTGCTCTTTTCGATACACATGCACCTATTCGTAAAGCGCGTATAACGAAAAATGCATCGCCTTGGTTAACCCCAACCTTGAAACGTATTTTCAAGGAAAGAGATGAAGCTTTACTCAAATTTCGACATGATTCAACTGAAGAAAATTGGATCAACTACAGAATTTTGCGTAATCACGCACTTGCTGCACTTAAAAGAGAGAAAAAAGCATATTTAACTCATTTCGAAAAGTCAAACCCCAAAAAATTTTGGAACCACTTAAGAAATTTTGGAGCTTACCAAAAAAATAAGGCAGAAATTCCCCCACACTTGCTCAATCCTGACGAAGTTAACAATTATTTTTTATCAAATTTTATATCCCATAATGTTAATTCCCGTCTTATAAATCGTACGGTAGATGAATATATTTCAAGTTCTTTTAATTCAGACATTCCGCTCTTTCACTTTCATTTAGTTCAGAAGATGTTTTAGATATTATAATTTCCATCAAATCTCAAGCAACTGGTTGTGATGGAATTAACATAGGAATGATCAATTTGTGTATTCCTGAAGTGTTACCTCATCTAACACATATCGTCAATTTTTGTTTAGAAAAAGGAGTATTTCCAAGTTTGTGGAAAGAGGCTGTTATAACTCCTCTGGCTAAGAATAATAATCCTACAGAATATTCGGATTTGAGACCCATTAGTATATTGTGTGGCTTGTCAAAGATATTGGAAAAAATTGTTTATATGCAATTGGTAAAATATTTTGAAGAGTACAACATATTTCCAAATTGTCAGTCTGGTTTCCGTAGTGGTCACAGCACAACATCTGCATTATTACACGTAACTGATGAGATTATCTCTAACTTAGACAATCATATTTACACTGTGCTGGTGTTGTTAGATTTCTCAAAGGCATTTGATACGGTTAACCACGAAATGCTTCTATCCAAATTAAAATACTACGGACTATCTGACGTTCCTCTTTGCTTTTTTAAATCATACTTAAATAATCGCAAGCAACGAATAAGAACAAGCCAAGGAGTTTCTCTTAGTGCCGATGTTGCTTCTGGTGTTTCTCAGGGTTCCGTGCTTGGTCCTTTACTATATTTAGTTTATACTTTTGACTTGCATACTGTATTACAGTTTTGTAGTATTCATACTTACGCAGACGATACACAATTGACCTTCACTTTTGACTCTACTAATGTGGATCAAGCTTCGTATAAAATAAATTTAGATCTGGTAAATATAACTGACTATTGCAAGGCTAACTGTTTGAAGCTCAATCCTACCAAGAGTTTTGCGGTGTTGTTCTGTCCCAAAACCAGCTATGAGCATTTTGAAAGGATGATTGATTTGAGGGTAAATAATGACCATATTCCACTCGTCACGCATGCAAAAAGTCTAGGTGTTACTTTAGACGTAAATCTTAGATTTCATCACCACGTCAGTAATATATCTAAAGCTACATATGCAAGCCTAAGACTACTATACTCCAATCGTTCTATTCTCAATTTCAAGACTAGAAAGAAATTGGTGGAAAGTTTAGTTATGTCTAAGCTGCTTTACTGTTTTATACTGTTTTATCCTTGTCTTGACTCCATAACAAAAACCAGATTGCAGAAAATTCAAAATTGTTGTTGTCGTTTTGTTTTCGGCCTTCGTAGGTATAGCCATGTTACATCCAAGATCTGTGAGCTGGGGTGGCTGAAGCTCAATAATCTTTTCAAGTTTCATATGTTGGTTTTTGTACATAAAACAGTCGTTACCAAGAGACCTATTTACCTTGCAAATAAGTTAGTTCTGCGTAGGAATTTAATTCCAAGAAGGTTACGTCATGATGAACAGTTCAATATTCCTCTTCACTACACCTCATTATATCAGAGATCTTTCACGTATAATGCTGTTGAGCTTTACAATTCAGTCAGTGCGGCTAACAAACAAGAAAGTTTACTCTCTTTTAAGAAATCAGTTGGAAAACAGCTATTGGAGATGCAATCGTCTCTCAGTGTTTGAGTAGTTGATTTGTTTTATTTTTATGACACTTTATTATTATTATTATATTAATAGTTCAAGTGTGCATTTGTTTCTTTTTCTTATTATTACTATTGTTTGTTTGTGTATCGAGTTTAACTGTGTTACTCTTTCGTACACAGTGAGGTTAAGTGTAAGAGTAGCTATTTGGCTAAACTTCGCCTCACTGATGTATGCTGATTAATAAAGACATTTATTATTATTATTATTATTATATCTTCATTTTATGAATACATGAAAGTGCTCCTCCTCGAGTTTCCTCATTCTCAACTAAAAATCTGTCCGCAATTCATTGTACATTTGCTTCGTCGAACCGATATAATTTTTTGAAGTCACGACCAAGTGAAGGTAAACGAGGTTTGTACGTTTTAACATCCCTAACATCCACAATTTCCGCCATCATCGTTTGTCCACCTTTCGTTACGAAGTTGAGCCTGCTAATGACCACACTCAGAATTTTTGAAAGATATGCTTCCTATGCCAAGTATAAGGTGTGTGTGTGTGTGTCAAAATATTGGCATTGGAAACTGGAGTCCATTTGCCACAAAATGTTGTCAATGGATTTATATTATCTGATCATTGTGAGAAACGGTAAGAAAGAAAGAGGGGTGGATATAACTGAATAGTTACGAATTCCAGACAAGGTTTATTTTATATAGTAATATTTGCCTTTTTAAGGAATTGAATTAGCGCTAAATAAATTTTTATATCCGGAAAGGATAAAATGGTAGTCAAACTTAAAGGTAGTTGGAAGCCAAGTTTGATCATCTGAGCGATTAATTGGTTGGAGATATTGGTGTAAAGATTACAAGCAAAAAATATGTGATTTAGATCGGCTATAGAAGATTCATCACAAGCACAATTTGGGGACTCTATTACACCTATTCGATGAAGATGAGCAGGAAAGCAACCATGACCCAATCTCAATCTCGTTATAATTGTAGAGAATCTTCTATTCATATACAAGAGATCTATGTGGGGAATTATATTGGGAAGGGTCGGGTGAATAAGTAATGATTTCGAGAGTTTACTACAAAGTTGGACCAGATCAAATCCCATCTTTTCTTGATGTTACCTCTGATCTCTATGAATAAATCAGAAAAAAGTGGCATATGGGTAATCGTACTAGAGTGGATTGCATTTTTTGCAGCTTTATCAACCATTTCGTTGCCTCTGATGCCAGCATGCCCTTTTACCCAAACAAAATTTATCTTTGCTCTTTTGGCTTGATAAGCGACGAGTAAGTTTCTGATTTTGCATAATAAAAAATTATCATATGATCTAACAGGATTTTGTTTAATTGCTTCTAAGACTGATCTCGAATCTGTAATAATTGTTGCGTGATTAATATTTTGCGAACGGCACCAGAAAATCGCCTGTAGTACCGCATAGGCTTCTGCTGTAAATATGGAGCACAGGTCAGGAATCCTGTATCCCTTGCAATAATCTTTTTGTGGGACGTAGAATGCGCACCCAGTACCCATCTCACTTTTGGAGCCGTCGGTATAGACGACAGTGTGGCAATTGAATTCTTCCAATACGGCAGATAGAACAGACCTATTGTAATAACAGTTTTCGGTATATGTAGGGATTGTGATGGTTGTTTCATTAAGGAAAACTTCATAAGGGCCAACATATAACGGGTAATTATCCATAGGATGAATTAAATTAGCGAAATGACTGGTGTCTACGAAAGCTTCAGCTAGCAGTGGTGAGGATTTTTTTCCAGTACTTGTTAGTCAAGTCTGTAGTTACTAATTGTGATATCTTATTAAGCAAATATTTGTTATAGGTTCTGTATTTGACAACAGACTTCTCTGCAAAGTACCTTCTTCGTAATGCAAGAGGAGGTTGCCTTGCTTCAGCTAAGATTGCTGGACATGGTGTTGATTTCATGACTCCCATGCAAATTCTCAAGGCCTGATATTGTATTCGGTCAATTTTAGTTAGGTGAGACTTAGCCGCGGAACCGTACAGCACACAACCATAATCCAATACGGACCTTACGTAAGACTGGTAAAAAATAAGCGCTATTTTAGGATCTGATCCCCACTTTTTCTTTGTGGTGCACTTAAGTATGTTAACCCCTTTTTCAGCTTTGGTTTTTAAGTACTGAATATGCTTGCCCCAAGTGAGCTTACAATCCAGCACTACTCCTAGATATTTATATTGCTGAACCACGGGTATACTAAGGCCACTGATATCATATAGGCTGGGAAGTGCTACTCTGTGTCTTGTGAAACACATCATCGCAGACTTCTCTACAGCCAATTGGAGATTTACCTCTAGCAACCAATTTTTTACTTTCTCTACCACGAGTTCAAACTTTTGGAGGCAGTACTGGTATGAATTGTGAGCAATGTAAACACATATATCGTCGGCGTATTGAATGACTTGAACTTCCTTGTCGAAAATGCCATGGAAGTCAGTTGTATATATATTAAATAATATAGGACTAAGAATTGAACCCTGAGGAAGGCCGTTGTATATCGTTCTGGGGCCGAATAACTCATTTCTATGATTTCTTATATACATTTTTCTATTTATATACAACTGGATTATGCTAGCTGAGGATTTTTTAGATAGACCGTTTTGTGTTAACTTTTGCATAAGTATTCTCAAATCTATCGAGTCATATGCTCCCTTCAAATCCAAAAACCAGCACAAAAGGTACTGGTTTCTGGAGAAACATAACTGGACATCTAACACTAGTTGACTTATCGCTTCTAACGTTCCGCGACCTCTTCTAAAACCGTACTGAGAGTCTGGGAATAGTTTGTTGCTTTCGATAGAAAAATTCTAATCTGAGTTTTATCATGCTCTCAAAGGTTTTAACTAAACACGATAAAAGTGAGATAGGTCTGT